GACTGTGTGTATCACAACAAACTATGGAACATTCCTAAAGAGATGGGAATACCAGACCACCTGACCTGCCTCCTGAGAAATCTGTGTGCGGGTTAAGAAGCAATAGTTAGAACTGGATATGGAACAATGGGCTGGTTCCAAATTGGGAATAGTGTAAGTCTAGGCTGTATATTGTCACCTTGTTTATTTTCTTGGGCTCCAAACCACTGCAGATGGTGAGTGCAGGCATGAAACTGTTGGGGAAATGTATGATTTCCTCAGATCTGTCTTGCTGCAGCACAAATGTGAACCGACAGACGGACCAATGTTATAGCTCAGTTTTATTGGCAAGCAAAGGAAAATACATCCTGGAGGTGGGAGGGCAGGCCAACCCAAAAGATGAGAAGAGAAGAGAAGCCCCAGATCAATTTTGGCTCCTCTTCTTATAAGTTTTTTCTCCCCCACCTGAGCCTGTCCCATGTAAATTGGGCTAGCCAGGAGGTCTGTTTGTTTTACCCGAGGTCCTCACTCAGGTCCTTGGATCTTCCTTTGTTCTATTTTTGCGGGCTTTTCCCTTCTTTGTCTTTTAGCCACCACCATTTTGGACTCCTTTTTCCTATTCTAACTACCTAACATCCCTCCCCCCCCGGAGAGATGGGAGGCCCAATTCTTTGGGAATAGGGGCATCTGGGTCTCTCTGGTTACATCCTGCTGAGCTGGGCCAGCGAGTCCTTATAGCTGTGTCCATCCCAGGGTGAGTGATATTCTCCATGGTTGGTTGTAGTTGTATATATATATCCTTGTTAAACTGGCACTGCATGTTGTAGCCTGTTGACCTGAGCAGAGACAAAATGGGCTAGACAATTGATAATACATGGAGCCGTCATAAGCAGCATCAATATGGTAATAACAGGGATTAATAGGGGCATTAGCCAACACCAAATCCCCCCTCACCAGGAGAAGAGAGAAACTGTAGCCACCCCAAGAACTCTCCAGTTCGTTCTTTGAGAGTTGGGTCTGAATATTTTTTGGAAGTATTTACCCAGAAATGACACGTTTCATTCAAGATGGCTCAAGTCCCTCCTTGTTCAGGGATCAGGAGATCTATCTCCTGTCTATTTTGGAGTACAACCCCTGTCAAGCAGTGTTGGCTCTTTAGAACTATCCTGAGAAATATTATCCCCAGAAACTTAATCTTAGGCTGTTCACTAGAATGGCACTCATTTGTAGTCCTGAATAGGTATATGAGATCACCCAGGGTATCACAATGTATGGAGTGTCCTCTTCTGTTTTATTCAATGCCTTGACTTGTGAGTAGTGAATCCAGGAGTCATGCCCTGGTACCTTGACTGCTGTGGGGGTAGAAAGTATTACGGGGTAGGGGCCCTTCCATGTGGACTGGAGTTGAGCCTTTGGGGACCCATGTTTCCGGACTTTAATTAGGACTTGAGTCCCTGGAACATATAGTGGTGACTCTTTAGAATTTTTTGGGTCCTGGTTGACACCCCACAAGTTGGAATTACCAAATGTCCATAGTATAAGATTGGAAGGTCTGAGCCTCTGGATCTAGGAAGAGGTCACTGACGTAAAAAAACAGTTTCCCATATAGCATCTCATAAGGACTAAGACCAACCTATTCCTTAGGGGCAATATGGGTGCGGAGGAGAGCTATTGGTAAAGCCTTCTTCCATTCCAGGGAGGTCTCCTGGGTTATCTTTTTTATTGCTGCTCTTAAGAATTGGTTGGCTCTTTCTACTTTTCCTAAAAACTGAGGCCTCCAGGCACAATGGAGATAATAAATAATGTCCAATGCTTTACAGAACCTTTGGGGGACCTAAAAGGTAAATGATGTCCCATTGCCAATTTGCAATAACCTGGGCAGACAAAATCTTGGAATGATTTCATGGAGCAGTTTTTGTTTTTGTTTTTGTTTTTTTTTACCACCTCCTCAGCCTTCTCCTGTACAATGTCATGAACCTCCATCCATAGTTCTTCAGGCCACACTCTGTCTATCAGATCTAATCACTTGAAACTATTTGTCACTTTCACTGTATAATCATAAGGGATTTGATTTAGGTCATACTTGAATGGTCTAGTTGTTTTTCCTACTTTCTTCAATTGAAGTCTGAATTTGGCAATAAGGAGTTCATGACCTGAGCCACAGTCAACTCCTGGTCTTGTTTTACTGACTGTATAGAGTATCCCCATCTGGGGTTGCAAAGAATATAATCACTCTGATTTCAGGATCGACCATCTGGTGATGTCCATGAGTAGAGTCTTCTCTTGTGTTGTTGGAAGTGGGTATTTGCCATGTCCAGCACATTCACTTGGCAAAGCCCTATTAGCCTTTCCCCTGGTTCACTCTGTGCTCCAAGGCAGAGTTTGCCTGTTACTCCAAGTATCTCTTGACTTCCTACTTTTGCATTCCAGTCCCTTATAATGAAAAGGGCATCTTTTTGGGGGTGTTAGCTCTAGGAGGACTTGTAGGTCTCCAGAGAACCGTTCAAGCATTCAAATAGATTCAAGGGATTAAATCTGATAGACAGAGTGCTTGAAGAACTATGGAGGTTTGTGACATTGTACAAGAGGCAGTGATTAAGACCATTCCCAAGAAAAAGAAACACAAAAAGGCAAAATGGTTGTCTGAGGAGGCCTTAAAAATAGCTGAGACAGAAGAGACATGAAAGGCAAAGAAGAAAACGAAAGATATACCCACTTGAATGCAGAGTTCCAAAGAATAGCAAGGAGAGATAAGAAAGCATTCTTCAGTGATCAATGCAAACAGAGGAAAACAATAGAATGGGAAAGACTAGAGCTCTCTTCAAGGAAATTAGAGATGCCAAGGGAACATTTCATGCAAAGATGAGCACAATAAATGACAGAAATGCTCTGGACCTAACAGAAGCAGAAGATATTAAGAAGAGGTAGCAAGAATACCAAAAAGAACTATACAAAAAAGATTGTCATGACCCAGATAAACACAGTGGTGTGATCACTCATGTAGAGCCAGACATCCTGGAATGCCAAGTCAAGTGGGTCTTAGGAAGCATCACTACAAACAAAGCTAGTAGAGGTGATGGAATTCCAGGTGAACTAATTCAAATCCTAAAAGATGATGCTGTGAGTGTTGCACTCAATACACCAGCAAATTTGGAAAACTCAGCAGTGGCCATGGGACTAGAAAAGGTCAGTTTTCATTCCAATCCCAAAGAAATGCAGTGCCAAAGAATGCTCAAACTACTGCACAATTGTACGCATCTCACACGCTAGCAAAGTAATGCTCAAAATTCTTTCTTAGTATGTAAACCATGAACTTCCAGATGTTCAAGCTGGTTTTAGAAAAGGCAGAGGAACCAGAGATCAAATTGCCAACATCTGTTGGATCACTGAGAAAGTGAGACAGTTCCAGAAAAGCATCTACTTGTGCTTTATTGACTATGCCAAAGTTTTTGACTGTGTGGATCACAACAAACTGTGGAACGTTCCTAAAGAGATGGGAATACCAGATGACCTGACCTGACTCCTGAGAAATCTGTATGCAGGTCAAAAAGCAAAAGTTAGAATTGGACATGGAACAATAGACTGGTTCCAAATCGGGAAAGGAATATGTCATGGCTGTATACTGTCACCCTGTTTATTTAACTTATACACAGAGTACATCACGTGAAATGCCAGGCTGGATAAAGCACAAGCTGGAACCAAGATTGCAAGGAGAAGTATCAATAACCTCAGATATGAAGGTGACACCACCCTTATGGCGGAAAGTGAAGAAGAACTAAAGAGCCTCTTGATGAAAGTGAAAGAGGAGAGTGAAAAGGTTGGCTTAAAATGCAACATTTGAAAACTAAGATCATGGCATTGGGTCTCATCATTTCATGGGAAATAGATGGGCAAACAATGGAAACAGTGACAGACCTTATATTTTGGGGCTACAAAATCACTGCAGATGGTGACTGCAGCTAAGAAATTAAAAGATGCTTGCTCTCTGAAAGAAAAGTTACGTCCAAATTAGACAGCACATTAAAAAGTAGAGACATTACCTTGCCAACAAAGTTCCATCTAGTCAAAGTATGGTTTTTCCGTTAGTCATTATGGATATGAGAGTTGGACTATAAAGAAAACTGAGTGCCAAATAATTGACGCTTTTGAACTGTGGTGTTGGAGAAGACTCTTGAGAGGCCCTTGAACTGCAAGGACATCTAGCCAGTCCATCCTAAAGATCAGTCCTGAATATTCATTGGAAGGACTGTTGCTGAAGCTGAATCTACAATACTTTGGCCACCTGACGCGAAGAACTGACTCATTTGAAAAAGATCCTGATGCTGGGAAAGAATTAGAGACGGAAATGGCAACCCACTCCAGTGTTCTTGCCTGGAGAATCCCAGGGACAGGGGAGCCTGGTCGGCTGCCATCTACGGCATCACACAGAGTCGGACACGACTGAAGAGATTTAGCAGCAGCAGCTGGGAAAGATTGAAGGTGGGAAGAGAAGGGCATTACAGAGGATGAGATGGTTGGATGGCATCCCTGACTCAATGGACATGAGTTTGAGTAAACTCTGGGAGTTTGTGATGGACAGAGAGGCCTGGCGTGCTGCAGTCCATGGGGTCGCAAACAGTTGGACATGACTGAGCGACTAAACTGGACTGAACTGAACTCAGCCTTCTCAGTCTGGGTGGGAAAGCCTTATCCATCCTGTGAATGTATCTATCATGACTAATAGGTATTTATACCCTTGAGAAACTGGCATCTGGATGAAGTCCATCTGCCAGTCCTCTCCTGGGTAGGTCCCACATTGTTGGATGGGCTGGGCCAGCTGGGGTCTATGAGCTCCTTGGGGGTTGTTTAATTGGCAAGTGGGACAAGAGGAGACCACTTGCCTTACAGTGGTCCCTCGTTTTGGACCACACCATATGGGGCCTTCTTCTTGAAACCCCTCACTCTTAGCTTTAAGAGTCTCACCTTCAGTATATGAAGGCTTTTCTGGCAAATAGTCTGTGGAGCTAGGGTGGCAGCCCCTATTAAGTCACTGTTCTGTAACGCTGCTCTCTTAGCTGCCCGATCTGCTGCTTGGTTTCCTCATGCCACTTCCGTGCTCCCTTTTTGGTGCCCTGTAGTGTGAGAGACTGAAGCCTCAACAGGCAGATGGACTGCCTCCAAGAGTCTAAGGATTTGATCACCATATTTGACTGGAGATTCTCGGGTAGTCAAGTGGCCTCTTTCTTTCCAAATAGCCGCCTATGCATGTAGCAACAGAAAGACATACTTGGAGTCAGTGTTAATCGCTCCTCTTTTTCCTTTTCCCAGCTCTAAAGTTCGAGTCAGGGCTATGAGTTCAGCTAATTGGGCTGAAGTACCTGGTGGCAAAGGTTTAGCCTCTATGGTCTCAAAACTGGAGACTACTGCATATCTGACTCTTCTTTTCCATCCAAGACAAAGCTGCTTCCATCAGTGTACCAGATTTCCCCAGGGTTGGTCAGAGGATCTTCTGACAATCCCTCTTGGGGTTTTGCCCAGTGGTCCAAGGTTTCTAGGCAAGAGTGAAAGGGGAGAGAGCCCTCAGGGGTAGCAGGAGGGTGGCTGGGTTAAGACCCTCACAAAAGGATGTAGTCAGGCCTGGATTTTACCTCAGCATGACTTGATATCTGAGGATCCCTTCATCAGACATCCATAAATGGCCTCTCCCATTCAGAAGTTGTTTCACTGGGTGGCTGGTAAAAATAGTTTGCCCCCAAGAGAGAGTTTTAAAGCATCTTCTATCAGAACTGCAATAGCTGCAAGATTTCAAAGGCAGGGAAAGATCTCTTCCCAATAAAGGAGTAGGACACTCAGGAACTGTCAGAAACTGGTGGGAAAATATTTGTCCATCCCAGCAACAAAGAAATGCCCAGGTGAATCTTTTTGTAATTGTTTTTCCTCTAGCATCCAAATTGTTCAGGTTTGGGAGGAGAAGACTCCAGAGTAGGAGGTCAGGACAGAGTAGGTAGCCCCTATGTTAACCATCATGAAGGAAGGCTTGACTCTTGACCTTGAGGTTCTGGGGTCCCAAGGGCAGAATGCTGCCCAATGTCCCAATTGATGGCATTTGTAGCAAGCTGTTTTAGCAGACTTGTCATGGTTTGGACACTTTGGCCCAATGCCCCACCTGTCTACAGATTAGGTATTTGCCTTGTCCTTCAAGGACTTGGGGTTTGCCATAGGGCCTCCCTGGAGGGCGGTCAGCATCTGGGATGCCTTGTTTTTTTCCTTTTCTCCCTTTTCTGGGCCTTGGCCTCCCTCTCCTCTTCTCTGTTACAAAAAGTATTGGTGGCTATCTGGACCATCTCATCTAAAGAGGCAGCAGGGTCCTACTGCTGTAGCTGTTGTAACTTTATCCTGATGTCTGATGCACATCGGGGTTGGAATTTGTCCTTTAAAATCACCTGTCCCTTGTAAGAGTCTAAGTCCAGATTGGTAAACTTTTGGAGGGTCTCTTTTAGACTTTCCAGCAAGTCAATGGGGTTCTCATTGGACTCCTGAGTTATTGCTGAGACTGGGCACATTCCCACAACTAACAGGCTTCCTTCTATTTCCATGGGTGGATTTCCTTAGGGATGAGTCTTTCTGAAGCTTATCTTACCCAGTATTGTTGCAACCTGAGAGCCAAGCGTCCTCAGGTCAGGGTGCAGATCCCCAAGCAGGCTGGGGTGTAATAGCCTCTTGAAGATCAAATTTCAGGAAGGTAGAGGCAGGTTGGCCTCCTGAGAATTGAGTCCCTGGGCAAGTGACTAGCTCCTGCAACCCCAAGACTGGCAGTTTTCTGAGCAGGTTGAGGCATGATGAGCTCCCGAGGACGAGATCCCTAGGCAGGTCGACCTCCTGGGATCCCCAGGCTGGAGTTGGGTGCCCCCGAGGTCCCCAGCATGACTAGTACTGGATAGGATTAAGGGGTTGTAATCTTAACTCATTGCTATTTTGTCCACCACTGATGGGAATAGATATCATGATGTAAAGCAATATAACTCTGTGCCCTGAGACTGGGAACCTAGTGAAATAGCCATAAGCCTTATCCTCTTATTGCTCTGAGGGAATGTAAGTCACTGATTTCCTCCCCTAGTCCTTCTTAAGAGCAGTTGAGGGTGTTTTCAATAGTAAACATTACATTGTCATAGACCCACTTTAGGTAAAAGCAGAAGTAGTGACAAAGGAGTGGGTTATCTGGTCCTGTTAGGGGCATTAAGAGTATTTTAATAACAAGCTGGGTGAAGTGATGTTGCCTACAAGGGGGTAGGGTCCTGGTTGCAGGAGTTAGTAAGTGGCTTAAGAACAGAATGATAAGAGGCAACAGACCAGGTGTTCCATAAAAATGGAGTGGAGATTTGGTCTGGGGGCATGTTTGTAACTTTAGGAGAAGGGTGGCAAGGGTTCTGGCCCAAACGACATGCAGGGCTAACTCCCAAAGTGGCAAACATTATCCCTGGAAGCTGAATTGCCCTTGAAGGGATGCCACCAATATATGGACTTCTAGCAGGCATTGTGTGCCTCTCAACTGCCCTAGTGGGTTCACTGAGAGATGCTGTTGTTGCACATATTGTAGAAAACATGGAAGATGAAGGCCTGATTATCTGGAGGGATTGGATATTATATAGTATTTCTCTCCCAAAGGCCAGATATTTTCTGATTGTCTCTCCTGAGGATTGTAGAGGCAACACTGCGGGCCAGAATAGGGCTCAGGAAAAGAGCAGGAAACAGGATGGAAGGGGGCAGGGCACAATTTTTGCAAAAATGACAGTCCAAGGGCATAACATAAACCAATTAAAATTAAATGGGTCCAAGATGACAAGTCAAATTCAACGAAATTTTGATCCTCAATCTGCAAGCTAAATGACATCCCAGAGGTGCCAGGACAGTTCCAAGGCACGGTCAAAAAAAGGAGGAGTGGGTGGTTCCCCAATGGTTGGGATGATCCTCCCACTCATTAGCATATGAGTTCACCCAGCTCGCAAAAACTAACCACACCACATTCCATGGCCACTGCACTCTCCTCTGTGACAGTCCACACCCTGTGGGGTGTGCTTCTCTTTGAATCCTAACGAATCCACCTCTTACCTATCGCTGTGTCTCTCACTGAATTTCTGCAATGAGACATCAGAGCCAGAGCTTCATTAGGTCCTGAAGCCAGGCACCAGGCGTTTTGGCCAGGCTCAAGTCCCTGGAGAGACAGCTGAAGGTTGAGAGGAAAAAGCAGTGGGGTAAAGTGTGCCGAGGAATCCCCTTCATAACCTGCTGGAATATCTGCTAAATACCTGACCTGTGCTCACAGTTTTCATTGGCTTGATCCTTTCCACAAAGATTATGGACAGAAGAACCCCCACCTGCTTGGCCAACAGCTACTAAGGCACAGCAGATAGTAGAGCCTTAAGGATATCTTGGGGCACCCACTGCCACTCACCAGTTGGCAGGGGATTCAAGGAAACAAGAAATGAGAAATTGTAAAGGAATTAAGATTGTGTTAGCCATATGTGCTTTCGGACATAGCAGTGAGTACTTCCCAGCCCAACCAGAGGTCTTCTGGAATCTGAGACTGAGCTGCGTGAGCTTTCTGTCGAGTGTGCTTTTGTCATCCTGGTCTCCAGCACTCTGGCTTCTTATCACTTCCACTGTGCTGGGTTTTATGCACATTCAGTTTCTGCAGCAGGAGCTTTTGCCGAGTTGGGCTTCTGCTCTGTTTGGCCTCTGCCTTGAGGGGGCTGAGCTGAGGTTGTTTCAACCAGGTTAAATCTGAGAAACGGCACCGTAGATGTTGGGGGAGTTTGTAATTTCCTTGGTTCTGTCTTGCCGCAGCAAAAATTTGAAGTGACAGACGGAGCAGTGTTATAGCTCAGTTTTATTGGCAAGCAAAGGAAAACATCCTGGAGGCATGAGGGCGGGCTGACCCAAAAGAAGCAAAGAGGAGAAGCCCCCAGCTCAAGATTGGCTCCTCTTTTTAAGTGTTTCTCCTCCACTTGATCCTGCCCTATGTAAACTGGGCTAGCCAGGAGGGCTGTTTATTTTACCTGAGGTCCTCACCCCAGTCCTCTGACCTTCCTTTGTTCTACTTTTGTGGGTTTTCCCCTTCTTTGTCTTTTAGCCACCGTCACTTTGGACTCCTTTATCCTATTCTAACTCTCTAACAAAATTAAAAGATGCTTGCTCCTTGGAAGAAAAGCTATGACTAATCTAGACAGCATATTAAAAAGCAGAGACATTACTTTGCCAACAAAGGTCCATCTAGTCAAGGCTATGGTTTTTCCAGGAATCATGTATGGATGTGAGAGTTGGACTACAAAGGAAGCTGAGCACTGAAGCATTGATGCTTTTTAATTGTAGGATTGGAGAAGACTCTTGAGAGTCACTTAGACTGCAAGGAGATCCAGCCAGTCCATCCTAAAGGACATCAGTCCTGAATATTCATTGGAAGGACTGATGCTGAAGCTGAAACTCCAATACTTTGGCCACCTGATGTGAAGTTGATTCATTGGAAAAGACCCTGATGCTGGGAAAGATTGAAGGCAGGAGGAGAAGGGGACAACAGAGGATGAGATGGTTAGATGGCATCACCAACTCGATGTACATGAGTTTGAGCAAGCTTTGGGTGTTGGTGATGGACAGGGAAGTCTAGCATGCTGCAGTTCATGGGGACTCAGAGTCAGACACAACTGAGTGACCAAACTAACTATATTGAAAACTAAAAAGAAGAGCACATTTTAAAAATGAATAAAAAAATTATTTGTATTTGTATATAATCTGTTCTATGTTCTCCAGCAGGATTAAAGATACGACCTCTATTACACAACGTAAAGAATAATGAATAAATGACATAATATGCTGAACCAAGAAAATAGAGAAATAAATTAACTGATAAGAAGAGAACCCCCCCCAAATATTGGAGGGATGAAAAAGGAAACAAAATTATCCATATAGAAGCTAGGTAAACAGATTTAACACTGCAGAACGTACAGCCAAATGCATAAAGGATAAAGTTGAGATACATAGCTAAAATAAAAAATAAAAAGGCAAAGTAATATGGATGACTAGGATGAGAATGAACAATATTGGTGATGAATTCCTTGGGGTTGTTTATTGCCTTCCA